TATATATTTGTATTAATTATAATTTTAATTGAAGTCAATATTGTTTGCTTATTAATATAAGTCAAAGGCATTCTTACAATTTCTTCGGATTTCCAAATAATAATTAATTTTAATAATATATATTTTGTAATATTATTAATATAATTAATATAATTTATCATAGAGTAAAATTAAAATTATGAAAATAAGAAATATATAATTAAAAATAATAAATATATATTTTATATGTATGTAAATAAAGTGTAAAATAATAAGTTAATAAATATTTAGATAAATAAAATATGTTTATATATCCCAAGAAACCAAAATTCATCAATTTTAATAATTAAACATTTTTCGTATAATTAATTTAATTTTTATGATTTGCATAATTTATTTTCAAAAGAACTTTCAAGCTTTTTTTTTTTTTATTGTTTTTTTTTTTTTTAGAAAAATATTTAAATATATAATTTGGATAAATGTAAAATAATAATAATAATAAAATCGTTCTTATATAACATAAATATATATATATATATATATATATATATATATTTTTTTTGTTTTTTTGTTTAGGCCTGTGTAAATAATGGATAAATAATACAATGCTAAAGAAAAATTAATTTAGAAGAAAGCTGGTTTTATTTTATTTATTTATTTTGTTATTTGTTTTTTAATTTATTTATTTTTTTTTATTTCCATTTTAATTTTTTATTAAAATCCGACTTTTAAACATTGCCCAATTAATGTTTTATAAGAGAAGTAGTTTGAGTAGCGCAGCATCCACTTGATCCAATATTCTTGGCGCTCTTAGTCAAGCTTGTTTAGCTGGTGTCGAAGCTCCGGCAGTGAGGGTAGAAAAAACTATATATCACAATGTCAGCGCACTTAACATAGTTTATATGTGCGTATCGCTGGTTTAGAGCTCACAGCTCTCAGCTCACAGCTTGCACTCCCAGCTCCCATCTCGCAGCTCGCGCTGAGCTGCTGCTACTCTTGGCCATTATGCACACGTCGCGCATAACCATAACGATTATGCTAATGCTCTGTGAGGTAGTTGGGGCGGATGCAGGTGTTGGGTCTGATAATAGGAATGGGGTTAGCTACTCGCTGGCTGCTTATGATTTGCCTTGGCTTATTTTGAGCGCTCGCGTTATTTACATACCTTAAGTAGTTGTAATGGGCTGCTGCTGTGGTGTGGGTGGGCGTGGCTGCTGTTTTTAGCCCCAAATGTGCGACAAAGTGTTGGCAATGAAGGCAGCTGGCAGCGCGTCCTTGGCTGAAAGACGAATATGCGAGTTGTCTCACAGCCAAGAGTGGCCATAGAAAATGTGAATGTGAATCTCAATCTGAATGTGAATGTGAATGTGACTGTGAATGTGAATAAGATGAGCTAGTTTTTATTATGAGCCCATTTGGTCTTGGCTTACTTTAGCCGGCTTGTGTTTAATGCGAGGATTACTTGGATTAGAGCAAGTTCTACTTGTATTCAGTTGCGTGCCTGGCTTTGTGGCTATAAAAATATGAGAACTTGAGTAGAATTTGCTGCGGCTTCTTCAATCAATTCCATGTGCTATTTTTAGAGTCAACTTTTAAGTCAGACTGCCTAGCCCGTGCTACGGCTCATTGCTCTGGGCCATAAACTGCAGACGATACACAAATATCAATGGTGAGCGTTCGTTGACCCACGTTTGTGGCCCGAACAAACTTTTGGCATATTAGTTTGTGAACATTGACAAGTCAATGGCCCAGTGGCGCCATGCGGCTGGCCAAACATTTACAGCGTGTACTTATTCATTTTTATGTAAAATGCGATTCAGACAGGGCAGCTGCTGCCCTCGGCAATGCCCAAAGTTCTCGGCTGATATCAAACTCAAATTTGTCTTCATCAAAAGTTAGTCGAGGACTTTGATTAGTTTTTCAACTGATATTTGCATGTGATTACAGGAAACGGAAACAATTTCGTATTAATTATATATATATATATATTTTTTTTTTTAATATTATTATGCCAAGTTTTGAGTACTATTGAAGTTTAGTTGCAAAATAAATCAATTTGTTGAAGCTGAAGAGAAAGCAAATCAAATCAATTGCAGACGTTGTTGAGTAGCAGCAGCCAGATGTAAAAACAAACTACAAACAAAAAAAAAAAAAAAAATGGAAGAAAAAGGAAGCAAACAACACAAATAACAAAAGCAAATTAATAGAAAACAATAACAATTCCCTTTATTATTATTACTGCAGAGAGACTGGGCAGAGAGCAGACAAAAGCGAACACTTAACGACTCACAGATCCAAAAGAGTTTCCAAGTGCCCAAGTTTGTGTGCTTTATTTTATTCGACTGTGCTTGGCAGCAAGTGTGTGTGTATAAATTTGTGTGTGTGTGTGTGTGTGTGTGTGTGCATGTAATTTACACAACAAAATGCAAGTAAAACACACAAAATGTTGCTCGAAGGCGCTGGCATTGCCTTAAAGTATGCCACACTTCGACGCCTTCTCAGGGGACTTTGGGGCCAGATGCTTCAGCTCTGAAGTGACATTATACCCTGGACAGGGTATTAGGGCAAGACTAAGCCGAAAGAGACAACATTTATATATATCATATAGGATTTATAAATATATATCCATATAGAGCTAATCGGAAGTCAAGTTGCTGTTGCCTCTATGGCCAATTGCTCGCAAGGGTATTAAATATTCGTCTTGCTGTCAACTTCTTTCTGTTTTTTTTTTTCTTACAACTTCTGATAAACATGCCACAGAACAAGGAATCGCTCAAAGTGCGAACAAACTGTGTGCAGAAGCTCAAGAAATCAGGCCAAACCAAAAACAGAGAAGTAAAAAAAAAACAAAAAAATTTAAGATACGAGCAAGAAAGAAGAAACAAGCGCATTGAATGCGTCTATCACATCCAACTTTAGCCAGGTGTAGGTCCCAGCTCTGCTCTGCTCTGCGCTGTGAGTGTGTTGAGCCGTGTACGTGCATTGCATGTCGAATATGTTTGCTAAAAACCCAACAACAACAACAACAGCAGCAGCAGCAACTTTATCTAAAGTACAACTTTTTGAGCTCAGAGTTGGTCGGCAAAGCGTTTTCCTGTTTTTTGCCTGATTTGTTGCCACGCCCCAAGGGGCGAGTGGGGGGCGCGCCACACGGCTTTGCTGTTGGTGAATTTGTGTTGTTTTGGCAAGTTTTTGCCCGCTTTAAACTGAAAATGAAACTGTTGTTGTTTATTTTACGTACGTCGTAGTTTTCCTTCTTCCCTTCAGAGCGCACGCCTTTGCCTGTGGCTTCGCCTCCGCCCCCTGCCACCTGCCACCTGCCTTCTGCCTGTGTACCTTCGCAGCATGTGCCAATGATTTTTAATGCGATTTAAGAATATCGCAAAAAAACAGCCATTGCACGTTGATGCTTGTGCTTTTTTCCGTATTTATTTATTTATTTTTATTTTTTTTTTATTTTTTTTTTTTGCCTTTCCAGAGGCTTAAGTCTGGCAGTGCAACCTTTTATTTTTGTATTTTTACTTTTAAGTGGCCAGCCAATGAAAATGTTTTCAAAGGTGAAACCAAGCAACATAATGTTTTTTAGGCCCTGCTGATAGTGTCTGTGTGTGTGTGTGTGTGTGTGGGTGTCTCTGTGCGGGTGACTTTATTTAATGCCATTAACGCAAATTGAATGTTATACGCACTTAAGCCCTTTGAGCCATTGCATGCGCAATTGAGTTTTTGTGTGGGCCTCGTAATGCCAACTCACGGTCCTTGAACATGCTCGCATTAAGGCCGAATAAGTGGCCCAGGAGATTGGCCAAGCATTATAAGTTCCATAAATTTTAACTGCTACTGAAAGTATATTGAATTCACTTGCGCTGCAATTTGAGAAAACTATTTGTTGGCCACGATATCTACGTTTAATACGTTTATTCATTTCAGCTGCTGTTGGCTGCTGCCACGAACAGTTCCATCATCTGCCCAATAAACGCTGAACAAACTCGCAGATTCCAAGCAGCTGAACAACAATAATACACAACTCCTTTGCCATTTCATTGGCAGAGTGCAGCCAGCTGTGGGTGGGGCGTGGGGTTGAGTGCTTAGCATAAGCTCGTTTTGGCCTGGCCTATTTCAGCAATAATAAAGGCGAAATGCTTGTGCTGCTGCAGCAATTGCGAACTATTTCTCATGAAATTCCGCGCTTACATAAATATTTAAACTGAGGCATTGGCACGAACGGCATTTGGCTCAGAGTCTCTCTCGGTTCCTCTCTCTCTCTCTCTCTCGTTCACTCTCTGTGTAGATGGAACATAAAAGCCCAGCGAACTGCCAGAGGCCATGATGAAAGTCTCAATTTAAGCCAACTTCTCTGCATATTGCATAGACGAGTAGCTAGCGAAACTAAACAGCTGTCGAATGAGTGCGTGAGTAACTGTGCTGTGTGTGTGTGTGTGAGTATGTCCTTGGGCCAGAAAAGCGCTTTTCAATACACTACAAACATGCACACACATATATGTATATGTGTATGCGTATATGTGAAGGACCAACTGCAAGTATAGAAAACTTCAGAGCTGTTTCAATGAGCGCACAGAACTCGGGCTCATCTACACCTCGGCAGCGCATACTTTCACGACAGACTGTCATTTGTTGTTTGCTTGTACAGTTGGAAAACAGAGCCATAAGCTGAGTATCTATCTTGCATCTTGTTGCTGTCATTTCAGGCTAATGTCTTCGCTCCAGTTTCCTTTTTCGTGTTCAATGTCTGGCTGCTGTCATTGCTCGCAGTGCCATCACTCAAACCACCCACAGCAACCCACTCGCCCGAGTCTGATTCGAGTCTCTTGTCCTACCGCCTGCACGTCAGCCCCGCTTAATGTGGCATCTCTTTTTTCTGCTTTTAACAACTTTCCTTGGCACTAAAACTATTTCCACAATACGACGAGCTTATTCTGTTCTGAGTCTATATATTAAGTCTTATTATTAATTGAATTTATATAAACATTTGCTAATGGAACTTTCTCTTCCTCTATTTGCAGCTTTTACTTGCGAAGCACACAACATTTAGAAGGTAAATATAGAAAATCTATAATCTATGATATTATTTTTAAAATATTAATTTTCTTATATATATAAAATATATCAAATATTGGTCCAAAATATATTTTCAAATTATTTTGGCTTTTTGTATGGCAACATGTGACACGAGTCTCAGTTTTTGATATGAGTAGACAAAGCTTTATTTATATCTGGCTCTATGTGGGCGCCTTGTAACATGCTCATACGCAAGTCCATACAAAGAGCAGCTAATTTGTTCGAGTGTCCGGAGCTTGGCCAATACCAGGAATTGCCAAGCGGCTTTAGGGTGCTGTCACTCCCTCTCTCTATCTCTCTCCCTCAGTCAGCAGTCGGCCCACCGATAAGCGGCTTATGCTGTTCGCTTGAAGTGCCAACGAGCTGAGAGTCATAAATACGATACAGCAACTGCAATCGAGCGAGCGGCTAGGCCGTAGACTCAAGTCTGAGGTTTCCTTTGCTACTCAGCCAAGAGAAATTGTATCAATTATGAAATTCCATTGCCTAGCTGGAGACTAGTGAAGTCCCGAGAAAGAGCCAATGCGAGTCTATTAAGGCTACACCTATGGCAGCAGCCTGGCTGCAATTAAAAACTCTTAATTGCTTATTAATGCGCAACTCCAAGAGAACGGCGTGAAAAAATAAATTAATTTGCTGCTGCTTTAAATATGGCGCAGACGATTTAGCATGTCGCGCCTGCCTGGCATTGGTATTGGGAATGGGATTGGAATTGGAAGGGGGGATTGGGAGTCTGCGTCTGTGGCTGATAAAAATAAACTCCCCTCGGCGACTATTTCGTATGGGGCGGCGCGTGAGACTTTGCCTAATCGATGCGTGTCCCCTCCGGGTGGGTCCCGAACGAGCTGCTCTTTGATTTATGCGCTCTGCACTTGTTCCAAAAAAAGAGGGAGTTGCCGCTGCTGCTGCTGTTGTTGCTGTTGTTGCTGTTGCTGCTGCTGTTGCTTTTAGTTGCATTGAATTTAATTGCCTGCTGGATTTTGGATTTTCATACTAAGTTCATGTTTCCTGCGTCAGCACCAAAATATAAAATAATAAAAATAACACGAACGACATGTAGACTGATGATTAATGCGACAATTTTTATGTCAGAGCTACAGTGGATAAATAATTAATTTAGATCATTAAACATTAGAATTTATGCACGAAGAATTTAAATTAATAGCTTCAGAATTTTATTTATTTTTTCTTCAATTTTCGACAATTTATAATTTTTTTTCCACAAAATCTTTATTAGAGATTTTATTTAATTAAAAAAATATAAATTTTTCTTTAAAGTGAAACTTAATTTTTTTTATTTATTAATAATAAAGAATAGAAAATTTCATAATTTTTAATGTGTCCATATCTTTCCAAAAATTTTTTCTTTAAATATATTTAAAAAAAATAAAAATAATTTATTTTTTCTTCTTTAAAAATTCTTTTAAAAATATTTTGTCTGCTGACCTGTTTTTAGTATTCGTATTAAATATAACATTTTGATTGAGAATTCTAATTGATGGACTGATTTCAGTTTTAGTGATAAATACTATATTATGGAGAATTTTATTTGAGATTAGAATCCTTTTACTCTCCCATCTTCTAATTTACATATTTTACTTGATCAGAACTTAATTTTATTTTGTAAATATATATAATAGAAAATTTAGTTGAAAAGTTAATAATAATTAATAAAAATTTCTAAATACTTCAGACCGTTTATATTTTAGGTTTATTTTCCTGTCTGAGCTGAACCTTGTACAGATTATAGTTGATATAATCAAATTTAATAATAAATAATTAATATTAAATAAATAAATAATATTTATTTTCATAAATTCTTATGTAAAAATCCTTGTTTTTTCTTCAAAAATTTAAATAAAAATTGTTTCAATTTGAATTTGAAGATTTCAATCTTCATGAGTTCTGACACCACTGTGCACAGCAGTCGTCAGTCTTCCGCTACAGCGCTTTGAGAGTGAGAAAGATTTCGTCTTGACGCGAGCGCGTGAATAACACGAATTGCGTTATGAAAAATGCATAACAGACATGGAATTGGGTTGGGGTTGGCCTTTGGCGCTGAGGGTTGGGGCTCCGCTGGCAAGCAGATGGGATTATTGTAGGGGGCTGTCGCGGAACTGTTGCAATCATTACAAAGATGAGCGATAAGCGACGTTGCATGCGGTGACACAACTGACGATTGCAATATGATGTGTGCCCGCTATATGTCATGTTCTCAATCTTAGCATGCAGATGCGCGTGTGTGTGTGTGTGGGTGTCTGCTGCGCTGTTTGTGTTGTGTGTATTGTGGCTGACAAGCACGCGAATTGATGTGCCACTTGGGCAAAATGCCGTTGACTTTTGAGGGATTTATGTGGCGCTCTGCTGACAGCTGCCAAAAATTAGCTGCCTTTCGAGCCAAACTAACTAACTGTCTGGCAACCAAACGGAGAGTTTCTGGTCCGGGCGGCATAATTAGCATTGGATTGCAAACTTTTGTTCCCAGCTCCAAGCTGAACAAAACAGAACAAAGCAAAACAGAACCTAAGCTGACTTAGCAGCTGTGCTCGCTCTCTGCTGCCGTCGCTGCCGCCGCTGCTGTTGCTGTTGCTGCTACAACTATTGTGGTTGCTGTAAACTGCAACTGCATGCTTAAACTAAAACTCAAATTTGCGCACAAAATCCCAAAATGTCAGTGACCAAAAACAGAGCCAGCTGTGCCTCAGCCCCAGCGCCCGCCTGGTTGCCAAGGGACAATGCCAGCCGAACTGCTTTGCTCCAGACTCATTATTCAAATGTGTTTTGCTGCATTTTGTAATATGCTAAAATGGGCGTGCCCCGCTTACCATACTGTGCTACACATTTGCATTCGCCTGCTTTCATTCCCATTGCAATTTTTTTATTTCTTTGCTTGTTTATCTAACACAAGATTTCCTACAGAAATTATCAGATTCGATGGCAGCTATGGCATTCCTCTGTTTCCATTATGCAATCATTCGTTTCATTTTTTTTTTTTTTTCAGCTCAGCTTAGCTGCTCTCTTGAGTTTTTACTGAATTTAATGTGAATATATTATTAAACATGTTAAACATATATATATATATATATATATATATATATATATATATATATATATATATATATATATATATATATATATATTTCTTTTTTTTTCATTTATATAATAATGTTAAGAAATACACACATTTTTTGTAAAGTTAAAAAATTAAATGCAAAAATCGAATAGATTTTTGCCTCTGGCATGTAAGTGATTTCTCCAAGAAGAGCAGAATGCAATGAGTTTATTAAGAGAAGAGAGAATCTGAGAAGGGGCCATTATACAAGCTAGTAGCAAAGATAATAATATTATACTATAATATATTGTTGTGAATAATCTAAATGCATACATAACTGAGCGTACAGTAAAATCCGATTATTACAACACCCAAGAACCATTTTACGTCGCTATATCCGGAGGACATTATAACCAAGCGGAGGCACTCAATAGCCGGTCGAACCGGATTCTACTGTATTTCATTTGTATATATTTTTTATAAATTAAGATTTTCTTGTGAATTATTTTTATTGATTTTAAAAGATGATTTTCATTGACAACACAATTCCAATGCGTCGCAGCTTGGCCATGGTGGACAGTGTATTTTGTATTTGCTGGTAGTTACCACGGCTACTATAACTATAAAAGCGTTAAGCAAGGCACTCGACGACAATATCATTGTAGCTCCAAGAAACAACTAAAGTGTAGATCTGCAAAGAGTATAGAATAGAATGCAATATATATAATTGATGGCTAGCTTTTAATCACATAAAACAAATACGAATATTTACTTAAAATGTTACTGAGTTCGCCTAACTTTTCTTATAAAATATAATAACTCATCTCTCAATCAGCATATTAAATAACAATTAAGCTATGAATATACTCATTCTTTATATAAAAAATCTTTACTTTAGCGAGGTAACTTTGCGTCGATGCCATTTCTGCTTAGTATCACATTAGCTACACATTAATTATAAATTTTCCTCTTTTTTTTTTTTTTTTTTGCAAGATCAATTTGTTTCGCAGAGCATTGCAAGTGTAACAAAGAATTTGTATTATAAAATAAAGGCAAATTCATTTGCCCCATGCTGAATGGGAGATGCTCCCCAAAGGCGGGGCCACACAATGCTTTGATCTCAGCGCGACGCGTGTAATATGATTTCGACTGAAAAGGCGAGGCGACTGAAAGGTCGCTAAAAACTGTTGCACGCCTCACTTACAGCACTTGGGACTGCCAAAGGACCGGCCCAGTCTCTAGGGGAAGTTGAAAAAAAAAAGTCAGGGACAAGCTAATAAAAAGAGAGAACTGAAAGGGAATTGCAAAGCGTTTGATCTGTGCCCCAGGCGATTGTCAAGCATGTTGGCGAACCTGGACGCTGAGACTAATTAGCGACAGATTGTATGCAAAAGTCAATCCCCGAAGAACCTTGGGCATCCATGTAGTATATTGCACATGCGTTTAATTACACAGACGTGGAAATTTGATTTTCACTTGATCGAATTTGAATTTAATGCGTCTCCGATTCGTTAACCAAAACTCACAGTTATTCCAAATTTCCGCATGCTGTAAAAGTGTTTCACCTGCTCCGCTGTTTCATTTTGTTTGCACAAAAATGTATTTCCGCTGCTGTCGTTTATATTTGGCTGCTGTTGCTGTTGCTGTTGTTGTTGTTGTCAGCGTGGCTTGTTTACATGGCAGCCAGAGAGTTTCATTCTGCGGTCTGCGCTCTAATTGCGACTTGGCAATATATCAACGCGCATATAGCCAGATACCTAAATGTATGTATATGTATGTGTGTGCACAAGTACTTAGATACAATGTATGTCAGTGTGAGTGTGTGTGTGTGTGTGTGCTTATGCAGGTATCTTGGGCTGGAGCTTTGCTCTAGCCAGCAGCCGTTTTGACATTTGCTTACGCGTTAAAGCTGACAGGTAAAATGGATTTGTTACGGCAATAGAACAAGCAAAAACGCGTTGCTTTTAGTTCAGGCAGGAGCTCAACCAGGGCCGAGTGAGAAAGAGAGAGGGCGTGAGTAAGGGACAGAAGGAGGTGCACTTATGCCTGTGACACGTGAGCAGATAACACCCCAGCTGCCGGAAACGTAAATTCCTCTTTTATATCACAAAAATTACTTTGAAAGCAAGCTGCTGCTGTGGCACAGAAAACTCCACCTAACTACAGCAAATTATTTATTTATAAAGCAGAAATATTCCTACAATAATCTTTACATCTAAGGGCAATTAACGTAATTGCATTTGTAATAAATTAAAAAAAAAAAATAAAAATAAAAATAATAATAATAAAATAAAATAAGTAATATACTTGCACGTTTAAGAAATAATTAATTTCTTGGAATGCTCATTCATTCTGTTATTTTCCGTAAAATGCTGCATCAATCCCCCATTTGCTATTCAACTTGTTTAATTTACTCTCTGGATTTTCCTTTACCTATTGAGGCAGAGAAATGAAAAAGGTTCTCGTTCGAGGAAAATATTGAGGCAAAGGTTGAGGCAGCACTTGAGAATCGATTTAAAAGAAAATCGCCAGCAGATTGGCCATTGTAGTAGTTGAGAAAGCGGTCTAAATGGCATTTCATAATAGAAACGAGCAGAGCAGAGTGGAGTAGAGTATAGCAGGGTCAGAGTGAATCCATTAAAAGGATATTGCAGCAGAGAGCCAACAGTAATTATCAATGGCAAAATAATTGAGCGAACACTTATCATGCGCAGGCAGCAGTAAAAAATGCGAGAATCGAGCAAAAAGGGCGATGGAGCCGAAGGGAGACAAGACTTTATCTCCTTGTCTGTGTTGGCTCAAAGGGCAGGCCAGAGGACTTAATTGCGTTGACGGTAAGCCCATAGTAAAAGCACTTTAAATGCTAAGCAGTCCGCATAACACTCGCCTTGACCTTAAAGACGTGCTTCAAAATTTAATAATATGCTGGCAAATGAAATTTGCAAAAACTCAGCCTAATTTGATTAGTTTATAAAATCCATTTTGAAGCCTGGTGCTTCAGTGGTCTAGCTGAAAGAAAATTAAGTTATATCGAAAGGTCAAAAGCCAAATGGCAATTCAGCTTCAGCCTCAGCTCTTCAGCTGAACAGTTGAACAGTTGAACAGCCAAAAGGTAAGCGAAGAGCAGTCGAAAAATTCACTTTACAAGGCGCAAGCTTCATACAAAGGCTCAAAGCTTCAGGGGTCCGTGACACAAACGTCCATTCACAGTTTATATGCCAGGTCCTATTTTTTATTTCTTGCCAAGTTTACGCACTAAGCAGCTGTCCGACCGGCCCAGTCACGTGTACGGGTCTAGGCTGGCAGAGGAATACTGCAGGGTAAGCTGGCAGGCGCACTTCAAAGGCTCACAAAGGCACTTCAGCCTAAGAGTGAGCCAGCAAATGTTATTTTAATCAACATTTCTTCAAGCGCACAAATTTCAATACAATGCAAAATTGGAATAGAAATTAAATTCATGCAATTTGAATAGAACCAACAATTGTTGGTAAAGAAAAATATTGACGGCGTGTAAAGTAAATATGTAAATAAATATGATTGCCAGATAGGTAAATATAGTAAAATATATTTAGTAATAAATATATATGAGTAAAATATAAAATAATGTTATTTAATAATATATCAGTAAATATGAATTAAATACTTTTATGTGAAAAAAAACAACAAAAATATTAATATAACAAGATAGATATATCTGAAAATATTTTTAAATATATTATAGCCAAAAAAAAAAAAATAAATAAATAAATAAATAAAAAATAAATAAAATAAAAAAAATCTGAGTAAAATATACCTAATTTATATATAATAATATATTTACACTTGTTTGACTATTTAGCGAAAAATAAAATAAAAATATTTAAGTAATCCGAATTATTAATTACCGAAAAATAAAATAAAAACATTTAAGTAATTCAAATTAACGTAATATGCAAAATATATTCTAATATTACATTTTTAATATGTATAATTGTAATTTTCGTTGCTAAGTTGTTTAATTTGCCTCATTTTAATTATAACTAAAATACGTTTAATTAAAACAAACACGTCTCTCGCAAATATATTATGGTTTTCATTTAATGTAAACAATAGATATTTAAGCATATATTCGCTTGGCACAATCGTTACGTCTGTGTGCACAGACACGGAGGAATTCATTTTTAATGCTGCCCTTACGGCAGATCAGCGTCGCACAGAGAATTTACCCCACCCTCTCCCCCTCCGCTAGACAGGGCCCAGGCAAACGAGTGCAACTGGCACTGCTAATTGCACTCATTCACACGACGAGCGCCAACAAAGGCGGCCAGAAGTGGCCTCTAACAACAACAGCAACAACAACAACAATAACAACAACAACAACAACAACAGAAGCAACAAGAGCAACAATAATAAGTGCAACAACAAGCAGCAAAAGTCGAAGAGTTGTCGCCTTGACGGCGCGGAAACGGAAGCGTTAGTTGCAAGGATATGTTGCACTAGTGCACAATAGTCAGTCCACCCACGCCTTCCTGCTACCCTTCCGCTCTTCCTCTTCCACTCTTCCACTCATCCATTCAGCATACGCAATTCAGACAACTCCCGGCAGCAGCCCATCGCGCGTCTCTCTGTTGTCTGTATCTCTCTCTCCTTCTCCCTCTCTCTCTCTCTCTCACCCTCTCTCTTTCTCTATGTGTGTATGTACAGCAATTATGTGCCATTGAAGTTTCATTGTCAGCATTGCAGATTGCACGTGAAGTCCGTCCGGAACCGGAGGGAGCATGCTTCTTCTTCTGCTTCTGCTTCGACTCTATAAAGCTGCGTCCGACACACATTGTCCGTTTCCGGCGTAATTGTTATGCCAATTTTTAAGAGCGCGGCGTCGCCTGCCTCGCACAAATTAAATGAAAATCAAATAGAGCCCGACATCCAAAATACATAAATGCGGTTAAATTTGTAGCGTTAAATGTTAACAGTCGATTTACAGACACACACACACACACATGAGCACTCAGACACCCACACACATAGCTATAAAAATATCAGCGCGTATTTGCGTGCTACAGCTAGAGCTCTCCTCTCTCTCTCTCCCCCCCTCTCTCTCTCTCTCTTTGGGTCTGCCTCGTTCGACGAGCGATGTCGTTTGGCTTAGACTTACGAGCTTGGGGCGCAAATTGACAATTTCTCAGAAATTGCACAAATACTTATGAGGCTGTGCTCCATTTTTTTTATGGCAAATTACACAGCCGCATAGGAGTGTAAATGTACATATGTGTGTGTGTGTGGCGTCATATAATAAAAACGTTTGGCAGCCTGCTTTGCCAGAGGGTTTTATGATTGGTTTTTCAGCAAAGGGGCAAAAGGAAAGCAAAAAAAAAAAAAAAAAAAGCGAAAGTAACATAAAATAAATAAAATATAAACTGCGTTATGTTTATGCGTCAAAGAGGGAGCAAGCCAGTGGGAGATGGAAAGGGCAAAAGAAAAACCCATCAGACATCATCAGCCTGCGCATAATTAAACATTAGACGACGATAATAAAATTGAAATCATTGAAGATTATTGCCAAGCATGAGCCAAACTGAGTTAAAGGCTGTCATTATCCAAGTGCTGCAGAGTTTCGCTCTCAAAGAAACTTTTCTTAATGCCTTTGGGTTTTCCTTGAGTTGCCATAAATTTAAATGTGCTTTAATGATGCTGCACCATTTCAAAATACTGAAGATATTTACAGCCTGAGAATAAGAGAGAATTTTTTTTAATAATATAAAAATAATAATATAATATAATATAAAAATAATAATTATTATAAAAATAAATAAATATAAATATATATACATGTTTCATATAATAATAGATATAATAAATAATAAAATAACATAATGAATTTTAAAAGTAAAATAATAATTTAAATTAAAATAATTAATTTTAAATCGGTTATTCCAAAATACAATTTTTAATACATAATAATTATAATAAGAGAGAATACTAATTTTACAAAAAAAAAAAAAAAAAAAAAACAAACAAAATAAATAATAAATAATAATAAAAATAATTTATTTAATAATTCATAAATATTAAATATACATATCTATTATTATTTATTGTATGAATAGTTTTTAAATTTTGTGAATTTTTATGAACTTAATTTTAATACAAAAAATTATGTATGAAATTATATGATAACTAATTTAGCTTGCGAATCTGTATTATTACGCTTTATTTATTTCAAAACAAACAAAAAATTAAAGCAATCTTAAAAAAAAAAAATCGTATGTTAATTTAAAAAGTTTCAATATATTTTTCTTAGACTTATTATATTTATTTAAAATACATTCAAACTAAAAGAATATTTTTAATATACAACAAGAGTTTTCATTATATTCGCCCAGCTCAAACTCGTATTAATATTATACAAATAAGCTGACACAGATTAGTTTGAAACTTTTTGCATGATAATCAACTCTTATTTGCTGTCGAAAAACTCATCTGCATTGCTCTTGACTCAGATTTCAACGGCCAAACGGCGCTTAGAATCAGCTTGTTTAACTAATACAGCTGCTTTGGTCAGCCGAACATGATTTGAATATCAGGCGAAAGGTAAACTTATAAAGCAATTAAAAAGTTTTTCCTGTTGTATTTTTTTTTTTTTTTTTAGATTGTTATGATTTTGAT